ACCCTCCATTTCCTGCCCCATTTTGTGCCCCTCAGCTCATCTCTGAGGCAGGGAAAGAAGCGCTATTCAAACCAATAGCACTGCTTGAAAACAGTGGCAGGTAAGATTTAACCTGGCAGGAGAAAATACCATTTTGGCATAAAGATATTAAAGCATTTTACCAAGTCCTCCTAAGCCCGTTGGTCCGATCAGCTGCATGAGCTGGTTATGGCTCATGTTTCCAAGAAGGCTTTGCAAGCCACCCTCACCTAAAAACAAAAACATTCTGAAACACAACATATTCACATTGGTTTGGTTTTTCACAGCACTCCGGCTCAAACAGCAGGAGATTAATTGGCATCACATTCTGCATGGAAAAAACAGTTTCAAGTGTTTACTGATTCATGATGCTCATAAAAGATAAATGCAACCTGGCTTCATAAAGAGGTAAGACTCCAGAGAATCCACTGGAAACACAGAGGTTTCTTCTGGCAGCCTTAACTTCCAGCCTGAACCTGTTTAACAGCCCACTTTATTCTGCTAAAAGCATGTTTACTCTGCTGCTATTAATCCTGTCCCCAGCTCACCCTCCACAGCACCAGCAACTGCTTCCTAAGGAGCTGTCAGCGCTCCTCCTACGTTCAAATAAAAGCCTCGGATGTGCAGGAGCAGAGGATGGACTGTACCTCCCAACGCAGACAGCTCGTGGCCTCCGCTCGCGTTGCCACCCAAAGCCCCAGGCATTGGTGGGTTGTTGAGATACTCGTTCACTTTACGACAGTGCTCCTCGTCCTTGTCCGTCTTCGGCTCCTGTAAGAGAGTTGCTCCTTGGTACGAGTCAAACTGGGAGCGTTTTGTTCCGAGACCTTTGTTATGGACATCCCACAAACCTGCATCCAGAAGAAGAGTCGCTTGGATCCTGCCTTGAACTTCAATACATACACACGGCCCGTAGTGCACTGAGGCACCCTCTTGAATTCACAGTCATCGGGAAAAATGATCAAATCCTGGAAAAGAGAGCAGCACCTTGAGAAAACACATGCACATTCCCTCCAGCTCCCCAAAGACAGAGGCAGTGTGCGCTTACAGCCTAGAAACCAACCCTAGCCTGGGCTGCATCAAGAGGAGCGCGAGCAGCAGGTCAAAGGAGGTGATCCTGCCCCTTTACTCTGCTCTCGTGAGACCTCACCTGGAGCATTGTGTGCAGTTCTGGTGTCCTCAACAGAAAAAGGACATGGAACTGTTGGAACAAGTCCAGAGGAGGCCACGAGAACGATCAGGGGACTGGAGCACCTCCTGTATGAAGACAGGCTGAGAAAACTGGGGCTGTTCAGGCTGGAGAAGAGAAGGCTGTGTGGAGACCTCATAGCAGCCTTCCAGTATCTGAAGGGGGGCTATAGGGATGGTGGGGAGGGACTCTCCATTAGGGACTGTAGTGACAGGACAAGGGGTAACGGGTTAAAACTTAAACAGGGGAAGTTTAGATTGGATATAAGGAAGAAATTCTTTCCTGTGAGGGTGGTGAGGCACTGGAATGGGTTGCCCAGGGAGGCTGCGAATGCTCCATCCCTGGCAGTGTTCAAGGCCAGGCTGGACAGAGCCTTGGGTGAGATGGTTTAGTGTGAGGTGTCCCTGCCCATGGCAGGGGGTTGGAACTGGATGATCTTGAGGTCCTTTCCAACCCTGACTATTCTATGATTCTATGACCTTGACCCTCCCCAAACCCCCTCCCATCTGCTCCTCAGAGCAGAGGGTTTGGAAGCACAGATCTGCCAGTGGTGCTCTTGTCCTGATTTATCTCAGAGAAGCCCTTTAGCAGCGGCACAAGCACACGACAGCACTGACACACGCAGCCCAGCACTCACATCCTCCACGTTGCCCGAAGTCCTGTCCTTCCAGCAGAAGTGAATGAGGGAATCATCAGTTTGCTGGATGTAAACGAGCCCTTTCCTCTTGTCTGGGGTCACGGTGCTGCCTTTCAGGGACATCTTCCCTGCCCGGAATTCCACCAGGTATTTGCTGGAGGAGCCGCGGGAGCCTGGCACCAGGCTTGGAAACAGCGCGCCCGAAGACATCCTGGAAGGAGAATGAGCGCAGGGGCGGTGAGAACCCTGCCCAGGACCCCTCTTCTCGACATTAAACGTCCACCTGCGTCGAGAGCGCTCCACAAGAGGAATCAGCCTCAGGGCCTCCAGAGCTTCACGTCCAAAGGAGATGGAGCAGAAGCCGGGCAGGGCTCCGCAATGAAGAGGAGCCGGCAGCCACCACCCCCCCTCGGCGCTTCCTTCTTCAGCTCACGGCACCGGGGGGGATTTAACAGCCACAGGCGCTGCCCTAACGCCAATCTCCAGGCTCCCGCTTTAGCTTCGGGGAGGAGAACCCGGGGCTGCCCAGCGCCAGCGCGGCCCGGCCGGGGGCCTGGGCCCGGCCTCCCGAGGGCAGAGCGCGGCAGCGGCCGCAGGTGGAGGCGCCGCTCGGGCCGCATGACGCTGCACTTGGGCTCGGCTCGGCTCGGGACCCGCTGCGCCGGCCCATCCGAGCGCACCGCGGCACCGGCCGGTCACAGCCGGGAGCCGGCAGAGCCCCTCACACGGCCGGGAGCGGGCCCGCGGGGTGGGCCCACAGCACGGCCCGGCCCCGGCGCTCCCCGCCCGCCCCGAGTTCCAGCCGGGCCCCGAGGCCGCCGCGCCAGCTCCACACGGCTCCGGCTCCGGCTCCCCCTCCCCCGGCGGGAGACCCCGCTCCCCCAGCGCCCGCAACCAAGCCCCGGCGAGCAGCGCCAGGCCGGGGGATGCGGAGCAGCCCGCGATGGAGGCCGCTCCGCCCGGCCCGGTCCGGTCCTGCCCGGTGCCCGCCCCCGGTACCGGTACCGGTACCTGCCGCTGCCGCCGCCGCCTCCCGCAGGCCCCGCGCCGCTCCGCTCTTCCTGCCCCTCTCACCGGAACCCCTCCCGCGGCGGGGCGGGGCCTGGCGGCACGAGGGCCCCACGGCCGCACGCGATTGGCCGGCGCTGCTGCCAGTCACGGCGGTGGCGCCAGGCGTCCCTGCTGTGTCACGGCGGCGGCGGAAGATGGCGGCGCCGCGCCCCGCCCCCGGGTCACGGCCGGGGCGGAGCCGGGGGGCACCGCGCAGGGACGGAGCGGGCCCCAACCGGGCGCGGGTGTGCGGCGGCAGCAGCCGCGGTGAGGGGCGCGGGGCTTGTGCCCGCAGAGCAGCCTCCTGCCTCCGCGGGGAAGAGTCTGGACTTGGGCAAAACCCAGGCGGACGCGGGATTGCTGCCGTTAAGCAGGGGTGAGCACCGCTAACGGGGGCTGCAGTTTCCAGGTAATCCAGGGGCGCAGCTCCCTGGCCTCGGTAACCCGGATACCGGGGATTCCGCGCATGCCGGAGGGTGAAGAAGCTGCTCCCTGTTCCCTCACAGCCGAGCACGGCCCCTCCGGGATTCCCTTCCCCACAGGCCGCAGCCACCCGGCCCTGCCAGCACCGGGCCCGCAGCCGCTCCGCCTTCCACCGCCGCCGCCATCACGATCAGAGCCCCAGGGCTGAAGCTGCACCAGTCCCGATCCCCCCTTCACCACCACCCTCAGAGCCCGCAGGCGGCCCAGGGAGGACGAGGGCGCCCTGGCAGCAGGAGGTGCTCAGCTCTGACTGCATTTAAATCACCGCTGTCTCATCAGCGCAGCCACACACGGGACTGAACCAGCCCCAAGTCCCTCCTGCCCTCGCAGACTCAGTCTCACACCAATCTCTGTCACCATGGCGAGGCCCAAAGGGTGTTAAGTGTTTATTATCGTTCCTTTCCAGCTGCTCTCCAGGGCTGTATCAACGCAATCTAACACCGGTATCGTATAGACAGTGTTTAATCAAGTTATAAAAGTGACATTCTTTCAAAAGGTGCAAAGTTCTTCATGTCCTGACACAGAAACTACTGAGGCGAGACCTGCATCGAAAAAAAAGCATGTTGAGAGCATCAGGAGTCCCAGGGGAAGCCAAGCACCGACCTTGGGGCCAGGAGGGGAAAGAACCTGAAGTGTTGGCAATGAACAATAAATTAGAAGAATGGGGTTGGAACGAGCCTGAAACTGAACTGAAAACCTCAGAGGAAGGGGGGAAGAGGGTAAGGACACAAGCAATGGAGTGCTCGTACTATAGGAACCTTCCCCGTTTCTTTTAAATCCCATGAGGATCCTGCCTGGTTTGGATTAAACCATTGTTTTGTGCTTTCACCTAATGCCAAGGCTTCAGGGCTTTGAGCTTAAATCATGAGATGCCAACCTGTACACTTCTTACAAACAGAGCATCGCTTTAGCAATGACACTTCATTCAGTTTCTGTTCCTATGCAAACACCACCACTGAACACGCTGTTTAGTTCAGGCAAGCTTTAACCTCCCATGAGGCACTGAACTGGAATCCTCAGTCCCCGCCTCACCACGGGCTCCCGGCGCCGCCCGCAGCGGGTTGGGAAGGGGTCCCCGTGCCCGGCCCGGTCACCAAAGTTCATTGTTTTAGATAAAACCCCATTTTTGTGCTGTCCCGCGGGGCTCAGCAACGTCCGTGTAAGAGCCAAGGGTTCCTGTGCTCACGAGGAACCGAGGCACCCCGCTGCGCCCCGTGCACCGAGGCGAGCCCCGAGACCTGCAGGCACACACAGTCTGACTCCTGGCAACAGGAGCAGGTTCCAGGCTGCCCTCAATCGTTACAGCTTCCCTCATTTCTGCAGGGAGGACAAGACCTAGGTTTCCCCCCATTTAACGTTACTCTAACCATGATGGGCCTGGCTGGACACAAACACGTCTCTCCACCAGCCACTCAACTCTCCTCTGCTTCTTAATCCTGAGGCTGGAAGAGAAGCCCTTTCAGCATCTCCTCTCTGGCTGAAGCCACATGTGTCCTGGACATCAACCACACCATGAGCTCCTCCAGCTGCTGGTGCTTAACACCAGCAACTGCTGAATTGCTGAGACCCTACAGCTGTGCAGGCGCTCTCCCTTTCACCTGGGTACTCAATTAAAAACTTGGATAAAAGCAGCAGCAACATCAGGATTAGCTTTAATGACTGGACTTCCTTTTTCCAGCCTCTCTCCCCCCTCGCCCCTCCCCAAGTGTTCTCACTTGAACGACAATGAATACGTCAATCCAGTCATCCTTTCTAGGGTTATATGGCTTTGATGGTTTGACATGGAACAAAAGAAACCTGACTTATTGACATCACGTGCTCACAGAAAACTTGTAATAGGTAGAACTCTGCCAAAGCTTGATTTCTGCTTTTTCACAACATACAAACCAGACATGACCTAATAATGAACAACATGCAAACCAAAACGTCCCCAGAATATGAACCTGTGTGGCTACAGACACCAAAGTGCTTCCAAAGAGTTTAGCCTAGAAGCATACATAGCGCCAAAGCTGCCAAAGGTAGTGCAGAAGATTTAAGCCTCCAAGTGGTAGCAAGCAATATATTTTACACTGTAACCACCTCGACATTCCTGCAATTGCTTCCAAAGCTTCTGGTAGTTTTAGAACAGCATTTGACTTCAGAAAAAGCACAGTTTTTAATGCACCCTTCCCTGCTCTTTAACGTATGCTTTATGTAGGTTTATCACAGGTATACAGTTTAATGCTCACAGTGTCCCAAAGTTGTGAAGACTCTGTAACAGACAACTACACGTTGGGAAGCTCAGGTTGGGTTTCGTTTCCCCGAGTCAATCCATTATTGAATCATACCGAGGGGCCAGGCGCTGGTCCCCCCGTAGTGCTACATACCATATGGGAGCTCACATGCATCTCTTCACAGGGAGCATCCACAGCACTAGATTTGATCCTGCTGGTACCATGCTTTTCATCCCTGCTCCGAGTTCCAAAAACCTTCCGATTCTTCACTATTGTACTAAGTAACAAGGATATTATCTCTATTTTATTTAAGTTACGTAGTTCTCAAGGATGTTATGTGCTCTACTGGGTACAGCGAATCTTCCTGACAAAGAAACTAGGGGGGGAAATGAAGAACCAAAAGGTGCCTTTGAAAATTAGTGAAAATATGATGATTTCAGGTGCAGCTTTATGGACAGAATGCAACAGTATCTCAATATTTGGCAATCCAACATTAGTGCTAATGAAATCCTTGATTGTTGACCCATAGACTGTGTTAAAATTGACTTAGAAAAGCTGGTTTTTGCTATCAACAAAACCAGTGACTGGCTTGGAACGAAATCTAGGAGCTGGATGTCCAGATGAGATGAGCGATTGGTTCTGTAATTTCAGTATATGTCTGGGCAGTCTGAGAAATTCCTATCAAAATAGCCACCTGAGTACAGCCAGTCTGAAGTCCCGGTGTAGGGGTTAGTGCCTTGATGAAACCATCTGGAAAACAAAAGAAAGGAAAAGGAAAGAAACAAGGAAAAAGCAAATAGAGTGAGCAGTTATTAAGAGGGGAAAAAAACAACTTTGCTTCTTTCCTAAAACACTGGGAAAAACACACTGCTATTTCTTATTAGAAAATGAAATCTCTCAGGAAATAGCCTGAGCGTGAAAAATAAGGCATTAAACCTCCTACACAGTTATCACCGCTTGTAAAGCACCTTTTCTATGATTATTTTTAACCTAAAGTCAAGGAGGAAAGAAAGGGCTTTCATCCTGTCGCACTGCAAACAAAAAGAACACCGATACTCTAGATTAGATGGATTCATTTTACTTTAAAGGAATGCCAACTCCCTTCCACAATCCTTTTTGTAATCCTGTCCAAACAGGAAGGAGCCTGGTTCTGAGGAGCTGTACTCTGCAAGAACAGATGCTCCCTTTTCAGCCACGTTGACTGAAAACAATTCTGTGTTTTCTGGAAGAGCTTTTCAAAGGCATTAACTGGAATCAGGCTGTAGCTGCTCCTCCAGGCTTTGGGAAGAGAACGTCTCTTCGGAATTTCAGGAAATCACAGGAGCATCCCAAAGTTCTTGCCTTTGAAGGAAGCACCTGCAGGAACTGGCCATGAGCATGCACTTGACTGCAGAGCACTGGCGTCTGTGTAAAGGAGCCAGCAGGAGCAGGCTCCAAATCCCACATCACTGATGCATTCTGTGACAGGGAAGTCACTCGAATATGCAAGAGAAAAAGCAGTTTCTGAGGCATCCAAGGCAAGAAGTCGTAAGAGTGAAACAAAATGCCTCAGAGGGCCACAACGTCTTACTCAGCTGCCAAAAGCTGCACAGGACTTGGTTAAAGAACAGATGAGACTTCATATTTTATTCATTCTAATGAAAACATGGCATCTGCAGGTTGCAGAAAAACCCAAAGAAACCTGACATTACCACAGTACTTCATTAGACAGCTTTCAGCACTTAGCATTGGACAACTTTGGCCTGGAGAAGTTATGAGCAATTTTGGCTTCCAGCTACATTTAGCTGTTGACCCAGCAAATTTGCTTTAGGTGACATTAGTGCTGCCATGCAGGAAATCAAACACGCTCTCTTGAATCAACACCCTTCAAGCAGCGCACCAAACCATTCCAAGCATTAAACAAATGCCCAGCTTCCCTCCCCTTACCGTGTGTGCCACTCCACCTCATCCTTCGCACGCTCCTTGCGAGCAGCTCGCTGTTTCTCCTCTAGTCTCTCCTTTTCTTTGCTAGCCACATCTAACAAACACAGCAAGAAAGGATTGGTTACCTTGCAAATAGAAACAGAAGAGCAGAGAACATAGAAGAGACTGCAGGGAAATGAAACACAGTTCATGGAAGCAAGAGAAAGCATTTGCTGTACAAAATCTCACCGAACAATGACAATCTCACACAACAAAACCCCTCAACTGTCATTTCAGAGCAGTTGCTACGACAAACACAGTGTCAGAAATGAAACTGGGGTGGTTTATCTCTCAGAAACACTGCAGGGAAGAACTTGCATTAAGCATAACAGAGTGTGACTTTCACTATTTGGCCATGTGGTTTCGGTGACAAACACCAGAGCACATCTGTTCACCACATGTCTTTCCAGACAAGCTCCAGAGCAAGAGAGCGTGCCTGCCAGTTCCCCCCAAGCTAGCAAACATGCACATACACCCCAACAGAGGACAGCAGTCTTGGGATCCACTCGGGACACATCTTCTGGGAGAAGACAGACATTGTTCAAATGCATGCTCATTACCCCAGGGTGAAAATGAGTTACGGCTGCTCTGGGAATGAGAAGCTGAAGACTTGTATGAGGAGCTTCCCGCCAGCCACCCCTCTCAAGACTTACTGCTGTGAAAGCATCTCCTCCAGCAAACACGTACCCATGTTCCCGTTTTCCATGTTTCTGATGTCTGGACGGAGCCGGCAGTCAGTGGGAGCCAAGATCGCTTCCATGCCCTTCTCCAGCTCATTGAGGCTCACTGCAAAACTGGTGAAATTGTACATCTGCAAAGCAAATCAAAGATAACGCACAAGGTGCTTCGGCAAAGCGGCCCCGGGTTCCCTCTACTGAATAGATACAATGGAGCTTCCAGGAGAAACCGCTGAGTCAAACCTTCCTGCACTGGCTGCCCTGGAATCAAGGTTAGGCTCGTACGAAACTGCGTTTGGAGGGGAGGGACAAGGAAAGGCAAAAGAAGGGATGGAAATCACAGCTTTGATTTTTTAAGCACTTTGATTCAGAGGATTAACACAGATTCTCCTCCTATCTGACACATAACAGCATGATTTTTAGAAAGAAGAACAACCAACCCAAAAATAACCAAACCAAAACCCCACCCGCACCTAAAGGACCACAGTCTCTTGTTGAAACTATTGAAGTTAATACCCAGCTGCCCAGGGACTGCATTTTGGAAGCCTGTCTTTTAACAGCAGAGTCAGCAGAGGGAATGTGTTTCCCTATTTTAGCCACCCCAAGTGCGAAGATCTCTCACACGTTCACCCGCGCCACCAGGCCCACGCTGAAGCGGCTGCAGCCACAGCATGTGTTCCTGCTACCAACTCTGACACAGCAGTGATGCTCTGAGAACAGGATCAAAGCACAGAGCTTACTGTAGTGTAATTTGTCAGCTGTAGCAAGGACTGCCAGTGCCTGTCAATGTGCATCCGAAGGTCAGACACTTCAACAAGGTCTCCCTTCAACATCTCTCATGTTCCCTTGGATAAATCACGAGCGATAGCGACGCACAGACTGATTGAAACGGTTACCTGCGAGGAGTTTGGTGGCCTACAGTTTATTCTCCAAAGTAATTTACTGCCTGGTATGAACTGCACCGTGTCTTGAACCTCTGGCATATCATCAGCCTCATCATTTTCAGATTTAATAACATCTTCACTCTGGAACAGAGATAACATTTGGCAGGGAAGCAAAAGGAAATTGGACAGTTTCATCTAGAGCTCTGCAGTGACTGTGAAGAAGCTGTTCCAATCTGAGATACTAAACACTCTCCTGTACTTCTGCCTCACCCCTCCTGTTTGCTTTTCCTCACTGTGTATACTGATCCTCTCATTCTTATTGTAATGTCTCTGAATAGTCTCCCACCCACTTGAATGTCTGTTTACAATAGTAAACTAATATCTTTCAGAAGCCTTTTCTGTGACTTCCATTCTATTCCATGCCATAGCTTAATTTCACCCAACATGGTTATTACTCCTTCAGGTGGAAGTAAGCCAAGACTGCAGTTTAAACCAGTCCCCATAATGGCCTAAACTGACAAATAGGATGTGCCCACTTGTGGCTACTGCTTCATCATTTGCAAAAGACGTGGATGCGCAATTAAAGTCTGCCCTTGTTTCAGACTGATTTCCTATGATGTAGGTTCTAGTAACTATCATCACTGCCATTTTTCTCACCACAAAGACTGTGCACTTAAGTTTATAAACACAGTATCCTTCCTTCAATGTTCCTTTGTTACCAGATGCACTGCTATAAGGCATATCTAAAATCAAACGGTATTCTGCAAGAGGCTGCTCTCATGATCTGAGAGACTCTGCCTGTTGTAGGACACAGCCACACTGTGGCATTTCGGAGGATTTCACCATAGGAAACCATTTAAAACCACAGCCACCAGAAGGGAAGTTTAAGGCAATAACATCCTAGAGTGACAGTGTTGCAGTTTTCCTCCCTCCCCTCACTCCCACCCACCCCGCTTTCTACTTTCTTTCTGCCCCCTCTGACAGAACCCATTTATTTTATTCAAGAGCACCCTATTATTACATTAAGCAGGGCCTGGTTTATACACTAGGAAACAGCTCCATATGGTTAAGAGACTAATTTTCAGTCATTTGGTTTGAGTATTCATTATTTAAAAAGACTCTTTTAGGCTACTTTCCATGTCAACATCTGGTTTACTGTTAAAAGAGTTCCCCATCTAAATATAGATTCAACAGGAAGGAAGGAAAGAAAGAGTTGATTTTTGCAAGATGAACAGAACCTTATTATATAAAGAAAAAAGTCAAAATACAAGCCTGTACCATGATGGAATCCAGAGCCAAAAGCAAGGCCTCTGGATTCTTCTCATGTGAAGGCTTTTTAATACAAGTTTAAGCCTCTTAACATTAAGAGGGATTAGATTTTATCATTTTCAATGAACAACCAGGGCCTGCAAGGCCCTGCTGACATCAGGAAACCCAAAAGTCTTCTGCTGCACCATGTAACACTGAGGCTTTGGTGGTAACTCACCTGACACTACTCACATGTGATGAAAAAACCCTGTGTGCTTCCAGACCCCCCTGTTGTCTTGGCTGCCTACGTCATACATTCTAAAGGGCTGAATCACCAAAACCCATAATGGACTTAAACTTGTCGTTATTTTTAATGCCCAAATCCTAGTGTTCTTACATCTGGAGCTGGCAGTAGAGCCGCTTTCCTCATACAAGGACTGGACAACATCAGCTTGGGGCTGATAACTGATGACTTCTCTTTGACAAACTTCGATCAAACACCACCATCCTATGAGCTCTCTTCAACACCAGCAGCTCACACTGAAGTCTACACAAGTTCAAAGTGCAAAACCTTCTCGCAGGACTAGCACTGCTCACATCCAACCCCTACCTAAAGACAGACTGGTTTAACCCTCCATTCACCACAACCCATTTCTGTACAGAAGATGTTTTCCTCTCAGTTCTCCTATTTCAGGATCTTTTCTCCCCAAAGAACCCTGGACCTTACCGGCTTTGGTTTCTTCTGCTCACCACCTCTCTTCTCATTCTTTTTGTATGTCTCATACGTAGTGGGGTCAGTGCACCACAAGCATTCTGTCCACTTGCCATAGATCACACACAGCTTCTTTCTGCTGCAGAGAAAGCAAGGGATCTTTAGTTTTCTTTCTTTACAAACCCTTCTAAGCCAAGTCATACAGATTCTGTTCTATATTCAATACACAGCTTCCTACTTTGTTGTATTTTACTTTTATTTGCAGGTGTCTTAGAAGCCAGATACTTGACAACGCAAAGAAAAGGTTTCAGCTTCTTCCAGTCTTTCTGGCATTCAGTTGTGCAGAACACATCCTCATGACTTAGTCACATGCTGTTGACACTCTCAAATGATTGTGGGTGCAATAAAGCCAGAAGTTTACAATAGAGAGACTCGGGGTCAAAAAACAGGTTTGGGTTTGATTAGAAGTTTCTAATAAGCACACTGTTGTTACTTCAAACTGACTACTGGACTTGTGATTGTACAACAGTGAGCTCAGTTGTGAGCACTCGGCGTTCTCCCTGGATAGATTTATTTTCAAACACTGGGTTGGAGATTTTTTTCTAATAATTCTTAAAATAAGCATCCTAAAATCAAGGGGGTTCAATACTGACACAGGGAACAGAAGTGGGTTACAATCCGCATTGCCATGTGCCAGTAACTCTGCAGTCACATCAGCTGTGGTCACTGTGCCAGGGAAAGAAACGCCTCAGTGCTCAGAAAGAGAGAAGCCAAACAGCTTTTATCACTTACTTTTTGTCCTGAATGTGTCCCTCTACTCTGTGAAGCTCTTTCCCAAACAGTCCACATGGTTTAAAATTAAGGACACATTTATCTCCAGTGCTGCAGAGGAAACAAGAACATGCTTAAAGCAGCTAAACACACTGACAAGTTCACTTTTTTACCTTATTTAGCCATTTTCATATAGCTGTAGTTAGCTGGGGGTAGTTATAGTACTAGGAATAAAATGGAATGCAGCCTTGTACACTACATAACTCACACTATTAGCACACTGCACTTCAGATTAGTGCCTATTTACAGCTAACCACAATGAGAAATGGCTTTTACAAATCACCTACCCAGGAAAATCCAGTGAAGTGCATTCAAAAGTTACCTCTAAATTGCATCTCAAGACTTCTAACAGTCTACAAGCATAAACCAGCATTATAGTTCAGAGTCTTCTTTGCATTGAGAGGTACACATGTGTAAATAATCTCACCCACTGAGGTATCAAGGCAAGTTTCTATGTCAAGCACAAACACACCATCATGGGGGTTTTGTGCAAATAAGAGGAGCCAGGACTGTAGATCTGATACTATGAGAAGTATCAGAACAGCAGCCCTGCTGGATTAAAGCTCCATTCATTGACAGAAAAACGTGTAGAAATACCAGTTTTCACAGAATTCTCTCCCTCATCATTACAGGAGGTCATTTATAGAAAGTAAAAAGCATTTATAGAGGCAGTTGGCCGAGCAATTGATATGCTTCCAGGTTTGCATTACCCTACTCTGCAGCCATTTTTCTGTGCTGTACCCTTCATTTAAGACATTCTCTATTATCAAAACTAAAAGGAGTTTCAAAACCCAATCACAGCCAACATGGTGGAGGTTCACTGCAAGCCTCTGACAATTATTTCATTTAATGGTTCTGGAGTTTACATTTAACCCCTGTTCTCTGTCAACAGGGCTGAATTTGAATGGGGAATTGACAAATACACATCTTTACATCCCATAAGCCATCAAGCCTTATGCCTTTTCATTAGTATTATTGTGATACTAAGTCCAGCCCAAGGAACAGACTGCATGTCAGAAGTTGGGGGGGGAAAGGCAGAACTATCTGCCTTGTAGGGACTGTTGCATGGTTGCTCTCTTACAAGCCAGCCCTCAGCTTCATGATCTGCATTACCTGTGATTCACAATCTCTACTGTTCCGTACTGTTCTAACCACAGTTTACCAATAATTACATTATGTACACAACAGGTTGGGTTCGTCCATGTGTAAGCTTCATTATGTCTGTAAAGAAAACAGAAATAAATCATTTTCTTGTGCTTGAGATGGAATGTAAACATGGTCTCAAGTCTGTTCATGGCAGGGCAGGATATTTAGCACTCCTGTGACCAGCCAGCAATTGAATTCATAACAGAAGAGAAACAGACTTGACTTTATGAGCCAACAATGTGTGTATCTAAACATTGGTGCAAGTGAACACAGTGATATCTCTTTATTTTTCTTCCCTCTCACAGCTGAAATAGTAAGTTGCTGTGCTTTTGATTACAGATTCCAGCCCAACATAAACATCTTTAATAATTCATCTTTTTCATTTACACTTTTAAAGCTGTATGTGATAAAACAATACCCATAGGGGAACCAGACTTACAGACTAACTCCTAATAGTGTCTTCTCTTCAACTACTGCTGCAGCACTGCAAAGCTTCTTCCAAAACCTCTTTCTTGTAAACCTCTGTCATTATCTAGAGTGCCTTTTTGTGATAAAGAGGCACTGAACAGGAATAGTTGAGTCTTCCAGCAGAAAGGTTAGTCACTACCAGTTCTGACAAAGGCAGACACTCCTCCTCAAGGGCTGGTCAGACGAAGGCACTTGAATCATTCTACAAACACTGAGTGCTAAAAGGCTTTTGAACCTGAAGGGTGTGACAGGAGTCAGTAAAAGGCATACAAATACCCCTACTAGTTTGAGGGGGGGGGGGGGGGGGTCAGTTATTGTTTAACACCAGTAGGACTCAGTAGCACTATGCTCAAGCTTTTATGAACATGATATTTGAAAACCCCATTCATTACTCAATTCCATCCTTTTCCCAAAGATTTACTGAGAAGAAAGAGAAGCGCTAGAATTGAAGGATTTTCCACTTTGTTTCTGTTTGGCTTAATATTTTGTGAAAAGCTTCACAAAGATGAATTAACCCTTAGAAGATTCTAAACCCTTACAAGACATTATTCTCAAAGTGGTCAAAATGTTAAACAGGGCTCCAGTCAGCACTAGGCTCAGCAGAGTCAAAGCCATCTCTTCTCACTCCATGCTGGCAAAAGAAATGCTAAAGTTACCTGGCTGGCAATGAATCCATCTTAGGAAAGCTTGCAAACTCTATTTTAATAAAAAAGATACAGAAACAAGCAGTATCCTCTTTGTAACAAATGCCTTGCACTTCTACTTCCAATTAAGTATGGAGAGAACACTCCTATTTCAGGTTTCCACCCAGTCTATAATTTTCTAGCACAGAAGAAAAACAGATCATTGAAGCCTGTTTTCCACAGCACCTTTTCTTCAAGCACACTTTAGGACAATGACTACCCATCAAGTAGGGGAAAAATTCCAGAACCCCCCAAATTCATGCCACCAGCCTTAGCACACAGCTTCATTCATGACCTACTTGACACCCAAAGCTGCGCAGCATAAAACAATCCACAAAACACTCATGGACAGCTGATAAACTGAAACACTTCTTTGTGCTGGAGAAGTGAGGAACAAGTGTGTTTTCTAAGGCGTGTTTTGCTAGCAGTCATGGTTAACCTAAATGCAGTACTTCACACTGACTTGCAATTCTGCTTCCTGAACAGTTACTTGTTTGCACAAGCCCTGAGCAGTTTTCAGACTCCTCAACCCAACAGAATGGGATGAATCACAAACACTGAGAGGCTCAAAATTTGATTTCCACTTCTGCTGCTAACTTGAAGCAATTATTTAAAGTAAATGCTTTAATGGTTTATATTCCAGTTTAAATCTGTGCCCTGTAATTTGATTAGGCTGAATAGGACTTTTAATAGTCTTCTAATAAAGGCTTCTCTCTCAAGCAACAGACTTTATTTTTGTCACATTTGCACTAACATTCATAGTTCCTTTTACATTCAGAAGAAATTTCTTCTATTTTCATTACCGTTTATATCCAAGACCAGTTCATGCTTTTATAAGCTTTGGAAGATTCGATGCCAGCAGCTTGAGAATTAAACTATACCTTCAAAGGAAACTACAGGCAAAGTCAACGCTTGATACAGCAGACAAGTTGATTCCTTACTGAAACCAAATGCATAGAAACTTCCTAAGACAACATTTCAAACAGCCTTTTTAGAAAGCTTTTAGGAAAGCACCTTTCAGTGTTCAACTGCAGAGTAATTTTTCTGCAGCTATGACCTTGTGTCCCCTTGTACCCTACCTGGGAAAGGTCGAGAATCACTGTGCCATCAGGACACAAACCAACTTACACAGACTCATGTAGTTTATGAGAGGCATCTACTGCTACAGACAAGCCTGGGAGCAACCTGGAGAGGCATTCTCGATCTAAATGGGAAGGTGATCATACAGGGAGTTTTAAACAAGTGACAAGGCAATCCTTAGAAGTTCCTCACAGCTATTCTGAAGATGCAGTTCCTTCCACACAATCAAAGACAACAACAATATATAAGCAAGATGAGCTTGAATAGTCCAGTAACAGAATTTTATCTCTCTAAATTTGACATGCCTTCACAGAACTGGCTTTCAGTAGCATTCCATTTTTAAGAACTGCTGTTTTTCACAATGGAAAAACTGGGTCGCATTGCTCCAACTACACAAGCATGACATAACTTAAAACAAGCAAAGCCCTGAAATTAAGCAGTTTAAATTAACTTGTAAAGAAACTCTTACGACCTCTTCTGCAAGATCACCACCTATGAAAAGCCAATATAGTCAAGTTAATGTTAAGGAGATCGACATAAAGGTATTTACTTCTCATACTCACTTCAGAAGCTCCAAAGTAATTGTTCCCCGGGGCTCTGCTTCTATACTCTTTCCCCAGAATTTTAGTTTGGGATAGATTGATCCATGAAAAATGAAATCCTTATTGAGGCCTTCAGAATAAAACGCACTAATAGGTGGGTGGTGGCTGACTTGTTCAGATATAAACCTAAACCCTAAATCCTCCCTAGAAACAACAAAAAAAAGAGCATTAAACAGTAAGTAGGTTTTTTAATGTTACAGGAGAAAAGAGTTACTCAATGCTTTAAAAATGTGAAGGATTTTTAGATGAAGCTGAAGTGAGACTTTTCTAGTCCTATGACACATTTACAATTAATGAAGTGAAAGAACCAGTACTCTGAACGCTTTCTCTTTATACCCCAAACCCACCCACATTCAAACACCTGAACAACTTGCTACCCACAAATGCATCTGAAGATGTTTCACTGAAGTAACTCATGAAAATACAGGAACATTTTGGGCAGCAGCAGCAGGTCTGCCTGAAAATTCTTTTCTCTGCTGCAGACACATCACTCATTCATTTAAGCAAGCTGGAGGCCCTTCAGAGTTACTCTGATGTGATCCATCCAACATAATCAGCAAACCCTATTTAAAGTAATTAGGAGTGTCTGGTCAGGAAATATCTTTGGTAGAAGAACAAGGACCAGTTTTTATCATAGAATCATAGAATAGTTTGGGTTGGAAAGGACCTTAAGATCATCTATTTCCAAACCCTGTGCCATGGGCAGGGACACCTCACACTAAACCTGCAGTCCCTAGTGAAGAGTCCCTCCCCAGCATCCATGTAGGCCCCCTTCAGATACTCTGCCTAAACCTAGAAATAAAATTACCAACTTGAATAACAACTTCTCAAAGATTCTGAGGTAGCCTGAAGGGGAAAAAAAAGAATTTTAGATCTACTCAGACATGTATTTTAATAGATTTTTATGTACTGCACTGAATAAACAACCAAACCAGCATGAAAGTCTGCTACAAACACACAAACAGCCCCAGCTCCTTATTTAAAGTTATTATTACCTGGTTAATTCATAGGTTTCTCCTAAGAGTGGGTTGAATGGTTTGCCAGTTCTCTCCCACTGAGAAGCTACAGCAGAAACTGCAAAGGCAGCTACAGCCTAGAAGCAAATTAAGAACACACAGTTATGAGAACAGCACATTAAAACTCTAAGTTGAATGTATTTGTTGCACATTATAATATTTCATTATTCTTCCAAACAGGAAATGCTGTGTATTGCTTCAGGCCAAAACATCTGTAAGCCACACAGTAACAGATACAGAAGTGGGGAAATATGAGCAGTTAACAAGAATCTCATTTCCAAAAGGAATTATTTGCTGTACTTTTGTCACATTTCACTCTGCCCCATGCTCCTCCAGCTACCTCAAAGAGGACAGCCTGTTTTCTTAAATCTACTTTTCTCCTTTTTTGACTGTCCTCACAGTCAGCTCATGGAGAACAGAGCTTTTCTAGTGTCAGACAAGCATTATTTCTAACACAGATGGGATTTCTTGAACCATACGAGCAAGTACAAAAGACACTTGGAAGCTCCTGCTTGCTGAAAAGCAGGAGTATGTGCTACACAGAGTACAATATACACATTCCAGCTTCACTTAAGTTTAAGCAGAGCTATGAGCAATACCAGTATAACCTAACGTACATAGACCTGGCTTTACCGCATTCAGTTCCCTGTTGTGAGACCAGCCAGGTACTGTATTCTGCTCCCAACAACCACCAGTTTTGGAGGAAAGAGTGGCAAACCTTGTCTCAGTCACAGCAGTTTTTTATTCAGGAACTTAAAAATCATGGAGCTACCAAACAAGTCAATTTAGGGTGCCTTAAAGCCAAGATTTCACCTTCACAACACATAAAACCCCAACGTCCCAGTTAAAAGAAGGCCTGAAAAGGGTTGAGGTCCTTGGACATCATCAGTCGTGGCATCTCCTGTATTAGACTTCTGCCTCAAACTCTGTGCTCAGCATCAAGTGTGAAAGTGCCAAAGGTATCTGATACAGCCACTATGAAACAAGAAACTTGTCTAGAAAGACAAAATGGGCATCCGTATGATAGCCCCAAAGAACAAAATACTTCCTCAAGTGAGAAAATGTCTTAGAAGACCCTGGGAGAGAAAATCTTCCTCTCAACTAAGCAGAGGTGGTAGCTGTTACTTACCTGCATTCTTTCCAGGGGGTCTGCATGACTACAAGCCTTATTTATGAGGTATATATGTTCCATATATTCTGTTATCCGTTGAAGGAAACTCAATGGCTCGTTGAAAACAATGGGCATTGTAATTTTAGATAGCTCCTATGTAACAAAAGGATAAGTTAATTCCTTAGACACAACACTGAAGTTAACAACTGACAACAACAACAACAACTGTGAAAATAAGTTGTGGGTTCATTTATTTATAGCATGCTTCAAAAGCCATTTGGCAAGTCTCTAGCAGACCTCTAAGTGCTACAACTGGAAGGGGCTAAAAGTGCTGCAGAACCCCACTATCATCTGAAAGAACAAGCAAAATGGATGCAGCAAACCTAGCAAACTCAAGGAAAATGCTCCCTTCTATTCTGTGGTTCCACATGAAACACAAGATGTTAGGATTTCCATAGATAGCAGCACTAACGTGCCAGCTAGCTCATTACTGATACTTAAGTACCACGCATTCCTTTGAAATCCTCACATACCTATTTGCATAAAATCTTAACTATTTTGCTGCAGGAACCACAAATTAATTTTTGAAAGGAACAGTTACATAAAGAATAGCATTTGAATTGCTCTAACAAATTTTCGTGGCTTTATTTCAGCAACCTGTTATTTGCATCAGAACGTTTCTCATTTTGCATGTGGATACAAGGCAGACATGAACCTCGCACAGAGATTTCCAGTTCTCCAGGTTCTTTTACTATATCCAGGCAAATTTTGTTCTTTAATTAAAAGGCTGCACTCATGACTGAGCACTAAAGAATGACTGAAGTGATTAAAACTTAGCAGAAAGGAGAATGCCACCAGATGAACTTCATGCAACATTTTCCTCATAGTGTCACAGGCAGGAAGGAGAAAAACATCACATCCAACTGACTTCAATTGATTTGGTCAAAACAAAGTGTTCTAGTGGATAGGTCACTCATCCTAACAAAAGGATGTTTTGACAGTACACATGTATTTCCTAGGTGACATAAGGTAAGCTAACAGAAGGGCTACAGACTTGTCTGTTGCATTCACAAAGGCTTGTACTGGCAGACCTAGGCTAGAGATAAATGTAAGGATTAATGCTTCTAAAAAGCAGCTATGGCAGCACAGCCCTCCAGTGTAGAACATCCCTTTCATTCCTAATAACAATGAACTAATGTAACTGAATTCCTAAAGGATTAAAAGAAAACAGCAGTGATGATCAATAACAATGCAAGCATCAGGGTCCTTTAACAACACAGAGCGATGTAAACATCTGTGTCTGGGAGTCCAAGAACAAATCTTGTGAGCCCATTACATCACACCATTAATACTCCAAGCTTTAGTGGGTTCCATAAGAAACTCCAACAGATCCCAAACTTTTATATCCTTCCCATCAAATTAAAGCAAATTATTTTGGGGACAAACTGCTTAAATTATGGAGGGGAAGAAAAAAATAAAACACCAAACCAAACCTCCCCATCACACCAAAATAAAGCCCTGAAATCACATTTTGCTACGTAAAGAATAAAAAAAGGCAGAAAAAAACATTGTGTTGATCAAAGCACATTGGACTATATTTGTAATGGCTTTAGTCCAGTTATTATAGGACAGCATTACAAATGTACCAATCCACATGCTCCAACAGCTAAAGATGGTAAGGAAATAGTGCTGTTAGTAAATGGTAGTAAATTCAGAGTTGCAGTTTAAGATGATGCTCCTACAGGACAAAATGCAAAATGTACCACATATTGTTCTTAAGGTTTCAGCAATAAAATGAACAGTTGAAGTGAGGAGCCCTGACCTCAGCATGCTTCATCCAAGCTCACTTACCAGTCCAATGCATTTTTTTAGTATGCTCCACACACTAAAATCATTCCTAGAAAACATTGGGGCAGGTAACGACGTCCTGTAAGTGGAAAAACCAATTGTCACTATCAGCCCCTTATCCAACAAGTCATTTTCAGTTGTAGGTATTGAAGTACTTTATGAAAGAAGCAAAGCATTCACCTGCAGTTGACTTAAGAAGCAGACAACAGAAAGTCTTTTCAGATGCAGAGAATTAAGTTGTTCCAATGAGAACAGTAATGCCCCAAAAGGCAATGAGCCAGCACTTACTCAGTTCTCATTCACTGTGTAGTAGTACATGTTTACCTGTGTCTCTTAATTCCATTTTCTTGGATCTCTGTCTCTCCGTTATGCTTCCCAGTCCTATCGCTTTGGTGTGGATCTAGATCAAGCATTTCTGCAACTTTATGATTTGCTTCTGAAAAGTCTCCTGAAGAATTGTCAGAATCAAAGCCTGCATAAAAGCCATAAGAAATCTGTTGCATTCATTAGGAACCATATTATGCCCCAGAGTGCCACTCACGTTTTATAGCTTTCATAGCATAAGTACACTTACATCAGGTTATTTAATTTTAAAGAATATCAGCATAAACCCACTTTATTAAGTGACCTCATGTCCAAAGAGTATTTAGAGCCAAGTACTGCATTAGAATCGAGCATTCTCAACTCCTTTTTCACTCTGCTGAATATAAAACCAATTTAGACGCTCACAGGCTCTTCGGTGGGCCCTGATCAGATTCACTGCATTGTCTCTTCTTCAGAGCTGCGCTGTGATTGCAACAATTTTGCTCAGTTATGAAGCTTTTCTCAAAGAACTTAAAACCACTTAAATTCGCCTTCTTATACTGCAAACAGGCAAGGAGCAAGTAAAAGAGAAAAGGGCAGTTTCAAAATCCAGCAGCAAACATGCATACAACTAGAGCAAAATAAAGGTAGGCTATCTAATACCTATTGAGCAACCTGGTCTAGTGGAAGGTGTCCCTGCCTGTGGCAGGGGCTGGAACTGGATGATCGTAGGTCCCTTCCAACCTAAACCAGTCTGTGATTCCAACTTCCTTTTGCCATCCACGTGTGCAAACTATGTAATACTTCCCTAATGGTTACAGCAAGAACCTGTGGACACCAGGTGTCATTCCCTGAGCCCTACAAGCAACTGAAAGCATGACCTAAAGTAGGTGGCTCCATTTCCTATCGCCCAATTCCATCCACTTGGGTAGACAGCTACTGGAACATTGTTGTAAGTAAATGCCAGCACCCCCCATAACAAGATGCTTTGAACAGCTTTAATAAAAGCAATGGGAACCTACAGAACACAAACCTCTGTCATCAAGCAGCCCTAAGCACTAGTTGGATGAAACTGACTGCAGAATCAATTGCTAACAACAAATAAGGATCAGTTGCAGCACCAATACTGAGCACCCTAAAATGACACATTAATATAAGCCTCCTTCACAACTGTTACAGCATCACAATGGAAAGCACTGCTCATCAATCACTGTAATAAAGGAATACCTTTGTTGAAAATAATTCAAAGAGCATGAAACCCTTTCTGAGTGCCACAAGGGTCAATTCTTCATCAAGAACCTCAAGATGATTTCAATTTCCAGCTTCCAATTTAAGAGCCAGAGTCCAAAAGCAACATGAAAACGAGTATTTACTGGCATACAGTTCTTTAAGGAATGCTCATTTTTGTGTTCCTTCCATTCAGGGATAAAGACCATGACAGTAACATTCAAAACTGCACAAGGAAGTACCACCGATAGGATCTTACTTGGTAAACAGCAGCTGTGATGGGTGATGTCATGTGTTAAACCATCTCCTACATTTTGATGTCACAAGCATGTAATTATATAGCAATAACCACACCTTAGCAGCCTTAGTACTTAATTGGAAAGTCTGACAGTCATATACACACACACACACATATATATACATATATATATATATTATTGAGGTCATTAAACTGAAGTCTAGCTTCAGTCAATCCACAACAAAATATTTCTGATTTTAAAACAGCATTTCTAACCACATACTAACTTGTTTGGGAACCTGTTACAGTACAAGGAGATGGAAAAGGCAAGTACTGTTGGGCAAAATAGCTTTTAGTAGTTTGTCTGATGAAGCTGGAAAACCAGATAAGCTTTCTGGTACACTTACCCTCCCCCAGAAAGGTGATAAGCATACTCAACATGAGAAACAGCATCACATTTAATAGGCACTTCAATAAGATAAACACACCTAAATGTAAATGCAAACCTTCACAACAGGAATAGTCAAATGGTTCATAAGGGAATAGTTATGAAAAACGTTACTGGAATTACATTGTACCTGAAACCTTGCAAATCCTATCAAATGTTCGTTGGTTTTTATCCACACAAGTCTCTCTGTTTCTCCATGATTCAGAGTTGTTTTGCCCTGTTCCTATTCAGCACAATGGGGAATTTAGATTCAGGCATATGTATTATTTATGGACAACAATCAGTAAATGTCAGTTCAAACAAGTGTCTCGCACACAAACAACAACAATTAAATCCCTACTCCAGAAAATTAAGATACAGCAGAAGTATAAAGTCTGCTTTATTAGAGTGCACCTGGTTACTTTAACGCCCCCCCCCCCCCCCCCAACCCACAACCAACCAACCAACCCAAAACCATCACTACAGTTCAAAGACAGATAATCACTAGATTTCCAACTATACTTTCAACCTTCAGTATCAGCTGGCTTGTCTACAAGCCCATTGAGAAAGTTTTCAAAGCTGTTTCTCAATGAAGTTCTACATATTATAGTTCTGTATAGTTCTAAGCATTATAGTGAAGAACTATCCAGAGAATGTACTTCACAAAGTACTGATCTGGAATAAAAACAGTTGACTGAAATGATCTGTTGTAGTTTTTCTAAGTTACAGAAAGAACCTTCCTCCAGCTGCCATTAAAGCCTTGAACTAACTTGCAAAATCGAGTAGGTAAGTTTTACTTACAGGACAGTGGCAGAAAGCCACTGGGAATGAGGATAAAAATAGGGATTTGAAAGGGGATAGGAGACCACACACAGAAATAAGATGTCATAAATTAGCTTAATCAAAAGACCCAACTATATCTGTTAAGGGCTACTTTTAAGTCTTAAATTTTCACAGTCAAACACTTAAATTGGGTGCCCACATTAATCTATTTCAAGAGCTTAAAGAAAAGTGACTTGCCAGTAACTCTAGTTCTCTTGGCCTTCTTCTTCTTCCACATCCTGCAAGTGAAACAAGTCCCCACAGACTACGCTTTGCACCAGCCTAGGAGGGAGATGAGCAGCACCCGGTCCTATGAGTCATGTACAGAGACACAAGACCTCCCCTTTCATACAGTCAGCAACTTCCTTAAAGGCTAATTAAGCTCTGTCACTCAGCCAGGAATCAAAACAGCCCAGCACTGCGAACCTCCAGACCGAAAAAGGACATAAGCAGTAGGGATAAATCCACTGAAGTGTAGGTAGTCAGTGAAGCAAGAGGCAAATGTTTTCTTTGCCAGAAATTACCACCCTCCACTTTCTCAAACAAGTCCATGTTCACAACACACGGATGAGGCATCCTGGCCTTTCACAGAGCCACAGCACTTAAAGGTTATGACAGAATCCACGGATCCCATTTGATTCAGACATTATGAAAACAGAAATCTGGCAGCAGATACCTCACTTCCTCCTCCCCAAGTGAAAGCAATAAAGTGAACAACAGCCAAGCAACAGGAAACAGGACAACATCCTCACCAACACACCAGGCTGCGTGAACCTGGCACAGAACATGATTTCCATGGACCTGCAGGTCAATACTTTCAAAAGCAAAACTAAACTATTCATGTTTGTCAAAACCAATTACCTTGGTAACTGGCCAAGCACTTTTCTATTCTGTGGCAATCCTTCCACAAAGCATTTTGGCAAGCAGATATCTGACAGAACTAATGAAAGATACAGTTCTGACAGAGCAGAACCTGATGGCACGGTCTTTAAGAAGTCTGCAATGAGATTAATGAACCCAAGGTGACACAGACTGGAGGCAGTGATCAAAGATGTGCGCTCCCCATCTCAAATGCAATTTCAAGGAATCTGAAATTCAAAGGATCAACCACTTCATCTGATCCAGTCTCAGAGAAAACTACCTCCGGCATCTCAGAAAAAAGCAGAATTAACCGAGACCACAGGTAACATTCCCAAGGGATTCCCAAGGGGAGTACTCATTCATGAAGTAAGGATGTCAAGTGTCCAACTAATCAGCAATGTTAATAACCTCTGCAGAGAAACTTCTCTCCATGGAAGCTCTTTACCAGTCACTAACTCAATTCATCACCCATGTAAATGTGCAGGATGGACTGTGTTAGAAGTGTAGTCATCATCTAGTCAGGGCCAAACCATGTGCCAGGAGGATGACTCCCAGCCACACAGCATGTAATTCCATCACGTGAGCATGTCTTCTGGATGTGACGGGGACAGTGTCAGAAGCAGGAAACTTCCAGGCGAAGAGATAAAATCCACCGCAACAAAACCCAGGGGTCTCCTTAGGACAGATCCATCTTCTAGAAGTGGATGCCATCAGTTAATAACTACAGAAAAGCTGCGGCTTCCTCAAGGAAGGAGGATCCATTAGATCCTAAAAATTTCAGCAAAGCACTGTCTGAAAGACACACAGCCCATGGTGCTAACAGGAGCAAAGAGTTGCTACAGGCATCGCCACTTCAGGAACGTGAACGCAGAAAGACCTACTTACAGTTGGTTTTAATGTTCACATCACATTTATATGACTTGGACAAGACACAGCTACAAAGAACTGGGCCTCAACTTTATTAGGTTTGTGCAAGTAATCCTTCAAACTGTCATCAGCTTCTAAAGCATCCAGCTGGAGAAAGAGACTGAGCACCTGTCTTTAAAGCCAGTCCTGAGGGAGGCAGAATCTGAAACCAACTATTCCAAACTTAGTGTTCCTCTTAAACCTGTGGGACACACTCCAGGGCAACATATATAAAGGAGAAAAGTTCAAGCTCATTTAGTTCCTGTAGTGGCTGCTGCAGACCAAACTCCTCAGAAGAGGGCTGTGTATAGGCTGTGTCTCTGCCTATAGAGACACCAGTTATTCTTGTGCTTAGAAACTTCCCTCCTGCCATCACACTCCTCCCTGTGGAAGACTGAGATTAGGACAGGACAAGGAGCACTCAGAACTGATGTACAACATCCACTTTTGAGCAGAGCCAGCCAAGACTGCCAGGTACAAGAACAGCTCACACACAATAGCTCAGAAGTCATTACCACCCAGAGCAGTCGCAAGGGGAATCAACCTTCTGAGGTCGAGGACAGGGAAAAAGAGGAGGAAAGATGACAAAACCAGAGTGTTCAAATGCAGATGATTCAAGCACCGAGTGCTGTGTATTTCTGCAGCAAGAGACAAAGGAATACATCAACATCAAAGGTGTACACACAGACCTCAGAGCCATGTTTCTGTTCACCTTTTTCAGTGGGAAAAAGGCCTAGTACATTTACAGCTGTGGTCCTGAGCTCTCAGAATTGAAACATTAAGACATACAGGAACAATACACTGTGTTCAAGATTTGTACAGTACAATGATTTGATTTCACAGCTGGATTAGGAGCAGCAGCCCCCATCACTCCCAGCATGAATGCAATGCAAACATCCTTATCTGCTCTGTGACATACTTGTGACAAGTCCTATCTAGCCCACTGTCAGTCACACTGCTTCACCCAGCTTCCTCTGTTTACTCCTCATCATATGAATCTCCAACCGACCATGCCTAAGTCTACCTTACCACTTGTATCTTCCATGCTACTTCCACTCCTTCAGCTTTCATGCTTCCCATTATACTCTTTGTATTCCCATGATTCTACATTAAGCAGTCTACACTCACCACAGCCAGCACTTCTCATTTCACCTCTATTAGAGGACTTCTGAGGAAACATTTAAGTGGAAAACTTTAAACTTGTTTGAGATCTTTGACAGGATTTCTTTTTTATTATTAAAACACTTTGAGCATTTTATTTCACCATCAGAACCATATCATAAATAACCATTCATCCTTATTAGTTCAAAGAAAGTTCCATTTGATACACTGCTCAAGTGTGAAGTGATTCATGTTTGCTTTCCTAGAAACAGCAGTGGATTGCAAAGGCTTTTGGCTCCCTTTTACATACTGTAAAAGCATACTTTTACAGTAATTTCTTCCTGACCAGAAAAACATTTTCTACTTCAATTCTTCAGGATAAGTTTTCCATTAAAAGAAAGAAATGAATAAAATAACAACAAAAATAATCCATGGAAGACATTTCACCTTTCAAAAGGTCTTAAAATTATTACTTCTCAAGCTGCTATTAAATCACCTGCATTTTACAGAAAATGAAAGCTAGACTTGGCCTCTAAAGGACTGCTATAAATTGATAGCCAGCACTAAGCTTTAATCAAAAACCCCCACCTCGTTTCCAAGTCTGAACCTGAATTATACTCCTTCCTTTCTTCTATTCAGAAAATAGCACTGCAAGTTCCACCAGCAGCAGTTTACTTTTTATTTATTCATTAACAGCAATATGTTAGCAAGACACTAGCAGCTCCTCAGCACACACACAATGCAGTCTGTGGCTGGCACTGTGCCTGTCACTCACCCGTAACGGCATCATAAAACTCTTCTTCACTATTCATCCTTCAGTGTGAAATCGCTGTGCAGCCACTCCAGCTTCCTCTAATGCATCGTTGGACTTGATTTAGAGATGAAGTATCTGTGTGCTGTCCAAGTCTTCTTTTGCAAATACCCAGCTGCTGTAGAAGATCTATTTGACAAGACAGGAAAGCAGAATTAGCAACTTCCACATTTCTGATGTGCACAAACACACACATTTGACAAATACTAATTTTCCTGTTTCTTCCCATGGTAAAAGATGGGTTTTTGCATTCATAACTAAACTGCCTTCTTTGTTATCAAAGTCATTCTGAAGACAAATACTACCTACCACAAGAACAGCTGATGTATTATACCACACTCCTCTCTCTGAATACATCATATACATTACTGTAAAACATCCTATTTACTGTAAGGTAATTTCAGGCAAGTACAGCCAGAAGGAGCTGAAGGAAGAAAAAGACAGCTGGCAGAACAAAACTTCTCTTCAGCAGGAGGATGAGCCCTTCTGCATCCTTAACCAAGAAAGCTGGGAACAAAGAAGAGAACCTGACATCTCGGAATCTCAATGTTGCATAGAAACACTGGGCCTCACTGTACATAATGCAATCAGCAGCCAGTGACCATCACAGAAGCTTTGTCAGGCTACTGCTGCGAATCCTTGAGACAACTGGAGATGTTCCTCTTTAGAGGGAGAGTGTAAAGAAACAACAGATTTCCTCAGTGAAACCAAGCAAACTGCAAGTAACTTACAGATTGATGAAGCATTCCAGCTTTATGGACAGACTACAGGAGATTTTTTCCAGATGGCTGGCAATGGTGTAACAAACATTTTTACTTCACCCAATTTTAGTCTAAGGAGAATAACGAGGAAATCTAGTTTCCACACTTTCAAATGTTCACCAGGTACCAATGACAAGCCAAGTGCACGATGATAAACGACAGCATGGCAATGCTATCAATATCTCCTCCCAAACAACCTCAATCTGTCAGCCTCAATTTTTTATGACCCTTGAAGATCCCACTGCTTTTGTGACAGTAATTTTTCCAGAGTAATTATAACTTGCACAATTGCATTCCAGTCAAGAGAAACAAAGCCAGAAGCACACTCTACACCTAGTAGAAGAGCTCATCATGTTTGAAGCCAATTCCTTCCTCCTCTCTGTAAGATACTGAACTGCACAATTCCTCCTGTGTTTCAAGTCTTTTTACCTCACTGCCCAGAACAAAAGCTTTTTGAATGCCTCACACATATACATTCCTTCCAATTCTCCATTCAGGAGGAGGAACTAAAATAGCCCATTTTGGAACTCAGATATCCAAGTCAATGAATGTAGCATTCGCCTACGTCTGTCAAGACAGGGCATTTCAGTTTGCCGCTTTTCCCTTGGGAACTCCCTACTTCCCTGCCACTACAGGATTTTATATCAACCTCGGCACCATAGTGAGTATCTGAGCTTCAACAATTTCTTATTTACAAGTCCTCATCTCCACAAGGACAAAACTTTATGCATCTGCTTTTCTTGACTGTTGCTGCAGCGCTGTTGCAATTGCTCTCAGCTGGATGATAGTTTCCTTCCTTTTTCCTGTGCTGTTCTCCAGTCAGAGACCTTTAAACCTTCAACTTTCTTGCTCATCAGCCACAAGTTTCTGACTTCCTTTTGCCAAAGTGCTGCACTCTTCTAGGCCAGGATGCAACAGCTCGAAACATTAACAAGCCAGATGTGAAAGGGAGAAATCCTCTTAACAACAGTTGGCTCCAGAGCAGCAGCTAGCTCACGTATCTGGGTGAACTGAACAGCAGAACTGATAACATCATTCTAAATCTGTACTGGAAGTACAAGTCAGTGCACCTATCCTTGTGTTATCTTGCCCAGCAGAAGCCAGTCCCTGACTCTATAAGAAAAATGCTTGTTCATACCAAAGCTGCTGTCAGCCTTGGAGTTTCTCCAAACTTCCCAGCCCTACCAGCAATATTATCTGGAAGTCTCTCTTCCAAGGTCTCCAAATATGTCCTATCATTGCAGAAAATCTGTCCTTGAGGATGCAACTATGTAAACCTTTATAGCAGGGGAGGAAAGAGGGAATCCAAAGAATACTATTGCAACAAGAAACAGGAACCTCTCAGGACAACTGCTGACCCCAGAAGCAATTATCAGTGCACTGGAATGAATCCACTCCTTTGCCAAAAATGAAGTTTACATTAGAAGGCTTCCTTAATCCTCCAAGGTACTGTATCTTTGAAGACAGGCTGAGAAAGTTGGGGCTGTTCAGCCTGGAGAAGAGAAGGCTGCATGGAGACCTCATAGCAGCCTTCCAGTATCTGAAGGGGGTTATAGAGATGCTGGGGAAGGACTCTTTATTAGGGACTGTAGTGATAGGACAAGAGGTAACGGGTTAAAACTTAAACAGGGGAAGTTTAGATTGGATATAAGGAAGAAGTTCTTTCCTGTTAGGGTGGTGAGGCAGGGGGGTTGGAACTGGATGATCTTAAGGTCCTTTCCAACCCAAACCATTCTATGATTCTATTCAAAGATGCAAGACGCTTCAGGTTTCAACTGGCTGCAAATACTGCATCCTTTTAGCAAGAGAGCAGCCAATAATTCCAGAAGGAAACTTGATTTCACACAAGACACTGCCCTCTCATGACCAGTGCTACAATTCCCTCACTTTCACCATGTTTTCTTGCCTCTTCCCTTTTTATTGAAGCTCCTGCAGCAGGACTAGCCTATTGCTGCACACAGCTCATGCAATGGGATTCTGGTCTGAAACAGCCTTGTATGTACCTGCAACACATAAAAAGGAGCTAGTTCAAAATCCACCCCTGCTCAGGCTCAGTTCAAATGCAAAGAGCACAAGTCCTCAGGCTCCCTACCCAAACACAGCCACCTCGCATATCAGCTTGCAAGCTCCAGAGATGCTTTGTAACAGCAGCTCTGGTATGCTGTAGTTTTGTATAGAAGGCACTAAGACATAAAAAGTATGATTTAAAAGATTGCCAGTTATTATTAAGAGCCTTGGAGTAAACCAGGTCACAAAGATGAAGACCAGCTTCTCTGCTCCCCTCTCCTGCACGCTAATAGCTGCATTACAAAAGGCCTTGTGAAGCGGAACTACATCCCACAGAATGCAGTTGCACTACAAAGGCAATGAAGCTTTCCTCTGAAAACACAAGTACAAATGGAGGAACTAGAATCAAAGACTTGAGTTAACTGAACGCCAGAGTTACCCTGTGCTCTCCTGATAGGCACCTCACACCACAATTTAAGCTCATTCTATTTGAAAGTTCAGTCATATCCCTGTAAGTTATATACAAGCTTTGTAACCATTACCTAAATTACAAAATAATCATGGAGGTCACTTTAAATAACAATCACAAATTGTCCTAAGATGCTAGAAGCGCTTGTAAAAGGACAAAGTAATATATTTTGCATCAGTTACACTAGGAATAACGTAACACTCAGATCACTTCTTTTACATTCAGTTCTTTTATTTAGAAGTTACTATGAATTTGCATGTAGCTGAAGACACAATAACAGCGTTTAGCTTTCATGAGCCAAAAAGCACGGATTAAGTCCTTTCCTCTTGCTAAGAGGAACAGCAAAAAGTTACTCTCAATTAGGCTGAAATGCCAGAAGACGAAAACATCCTGTTTGCTTCATATTCAGCATTTGTAATCTGCATTTCCTCCCCATGTCCATGATGTACCCAGAAAAACTCACTTACACACTGGCAATTGCAGTTAACAGCTCTTACCAAAATTGCCTTTCAAGGAAGGGTGCCTTCAGGAGCTTAGGACCAGCTGCCATCAGCTGTATTGTCACTGATGGCAAAGAGAGACTTTAGAGAAACCATTTAACAAATAACAGGAAAAAGCTGCAAATGGAGGCCTCGTAAGAGAACTGGAAATTCACAGTTTAAGGATGACAACACAGCACTGGCTACAAGCAGCCCAGATTTTGTGGTTTACAAGATAAGCAACAAAGCTCATCTCTTTCCTCAGATTTGAAGGCTAGGCATTGGTATATACTAATTGGATTTGTTACAGGATTTGTGTGCATGGATTCAAACTGCCATATCTGGGTTTATTTTTGTAATAGCTTGATCTCCTACAGGAAAGATGCTAGTTTTGAAGCTCAAGCTGAAAGACAACAGATAAAAACATCAAATCCGTCTAATACCCATCACAAGAGTCCAACTTCAACGTCGGCTGGTAAATCTATACTGCAGGCTCTATTCTCTTATATTTTGCCCTGAGAAACTCTCTGTGTTTGGCTGCCCAGAATATTCACAATATGATTTTGCTCTTGGAAATAAATTTTAAAGTGAGTGGCAAAGCAATTAACAGAAAAGAACAACGCTGAACAGAGCTTACTGAAGCGAGTCTTGAACAAGTTATTTGGGCAGAACCCAGTTTTTCTAGTCATTTTGCTTATTTTCATGCCAATGCCTCCAATATACAAAACCAGACCAGCAAGAGAATTTGAAGTGAAAAACTTGTAAAAGCTTCTGGTATCATCTATTCAAAGGACTACCTTTGGTTCCTCTGAAACAAGCTTTGCACCTTCGTGATATAAAACCATCCACAAACGGGTTAAACAAGACATTATGCTTTCCACTAGCACAACTCAGAAATGCAGATAGCAATGCTGCAATAGAAACGCAGTGTTGTACCAAACAAGAACCCCAAAGCCTGAACAGGTAAGGGATGGAAATACAAGTAACTACTACTGACACAGGCAAGAAGTCTGTCTTGCACTTTTGTTATTAAAAGGTCTCCCTAGTGCTATACAACTAATCAAAAGTGGGTTACTCATTAAAACTCCTTTAAATTCCCATAATTTACCGGAAAAGGTTCACACATTCCTGTATGACTGATGACCATGGACAGTCCTCTCCTTAAAGGACATGGGGATGTTTTGCAAAGGACAAAACAAAGAACGCAGCTGTAATGAATACTGCAGGAACACAATGAAAACCTGCACTGCATCCATAGCACACCTTGAAACAGGTTCTGCAGCAAGGAGGAATTACTAAGACTGACATACAGCTTTCCAGAGGTACATTTGCTACAGATAGAGAGAACAAACAGAAAGGGCTGTCCCTAAACACACACAGCACACCAATGGTCACAAAACATACCAAGGCAGA